GTAATTTTATGGTGAACTTTCCACTCATGAGCGGCTTGATGGCATTTCTCCTGTTAGGTTCTATACTGAAGTGTACTTGATGGTACGATCTATATTGTGTTTGTGTTAGTAGAGAGAGACAGAGAGAGAGTTCTTATTTTGCATATAAAATGTCAGCGACACATGTGAAGAATATAAATACTGTGAAAAAGATCCTGCAGCTCACTGACATGACGACTTAGAAGAACACTGTAATCAGGATTTAGGTCTACACATGTTATTCCAATATACAAATGTGAGGAGCATATGTCCCTGTCTGTGAGAACAGCATCTAGTCAAATGGATGAAGAGCATGTGTTTATAAGATACAGGAACGAGAGAGAGATAGATAGAGAGAGGGAGAGAGAGAGAGTGTCTAATTTAACAGCTAAAAACATCAAGGTTTCTGGGTTCATGTGTTCTCTCTTTCTCCTCATTTCTTTCCTCTCCCTCTCTCTCTCTCCATCTCTTTGTAGATATATATATATATACACATATATATATATATATGTGTGTGTGGTTGTGTGTGTGCGTGTGCATTGGTAGCGTGCACCTCTCTGGGGGACTTCCGCTGCTGCTGTTATTCTTTGCAGTGAGTGGAAAGCTTTCACCAACATCTGCACAACATATCAGGGCAGAGAAGAGGATACTGGACTGAAACTTTCCGTTGGACGACACTTCGCAGGACCCCTGCTCCTGACCATATGGCAGGCTTTAGATGAGGCAGAAAACCTGAAGAGTTTCCCAAAAGCCATTTATTTGCTGAATTTTTTAAGAACTGGATATGGGAGGGGCAGCNGGTGATACATTCTTGTTTCTTGGGTACAACTTCCTCATCCTAAATAAACCAATGAGTCACAGAACTGGGCAGAGAAACTGTCAGAGGTTTTCAGACAACTGGAATACTAACTGTATGACTGAGGTTACTGAGTTACTGAATGATAGGCCGCGGCTTATACCCCGATTTTACCAACTGTAAGTATGGAAAATATATGAATGTGGCCTATGTAGTACTATACAATATCACAGAATTTAAATAGGATGACATACCATACAATACCATACCATACATACCATACAGTACCATACCATACA